ACTCGCCCCAACCATTCTGAGCTGTTCTTACTTGGTGAATTTATTTTAGAAGAGACACAAGCCACGCACTTGCATATCATCTTTCAAATGGACTCCAGCTTTTTGTAGGGATGGTTTGTTAGGGGATATGAATCTCAAAATACTTTCTCTACATCAACTCAACTGGAATAGAAAGGCTTCCAATGCTAAAATGAGAAACCACTCTTGGTTCTAGTAAGTGCTGTTTTTTTTGTTTTTTTGTTTCCTTGTGTTCTTTCCTTGACCTCTCTATGCACTTTTCATTGTTAGTTTTTAAGTGCTATTATTTATCAAAAACGATTAATGCCGATTCGGGAATACTAACATGCCAGATGCTGGGAATGCCAGGATGGCAGTCTAATAATGTCTTTCTTTCCATGAAGCCATCTAGGGCTCCTAACATGGGCTGTGTCACCACACTGAAGTAACTGCTGTCCATTAAATCACCAGAAGAAAGCAAGCTAAGGGTCTAGTTTGCGCGGAGCTTCAGTCCTATCCAGGGCCCACTGCCACTGTATGTCAATCTCACTGCCAACTGTGCTTGGGTGGAGAGGGGCCCAGTCAGTCCTTCTGCTCAAACCCCAGGTGACTTCAGAGCAGGATACGGAGTCTTAGGCCAGCTGGACTGTTAGGTCCTTTCTCTACTGACCACTATGGCCAAAAGGGATATTCCTGTGACTGAGATCCAATCCTCTTTAGTACCTTCCATGACTACCAGAAAGAACTGGCAAGGACTTCTAAGAAATACGTCCTTGGCCACAGAAGTCACAAGAACTTAGTCAATAACCAGTCACTGAACTCTGTAATAACCTAGATGTCTGAGCTTCTGTCAACAAAACAAACAACCAAAGCAGCAAATACTTTGACTCACAGTGCCCACTGGGGAACAACATAGATTATAAAACCAAAAATCCTGATTTCTGCCCTGAGGTTCCCAGTAAACTTTGGTCCATTTGCAGAAGTCTTCAAGGTTCCCTTCTCCCAACTGAATGAAATAACGTGTGAAAGGTGGGCTGAAAATTGACAAGCACATTGCACATATGAGGAGCTATTGGAACTAAACAATGAAGGTTCAGTTCATCCTCTCATTCTTCCTCAAGGCACCAAGCTATGGGCAAGAGCAATGTCAGGAAGGGCTTTGCCTGTAGGGCCCGCTCTCCCTTCCTTGGCTCTCTGATCTGGGAACTGGATAATTCAACTGTGGGATGAAACCTCAACGAAGGGAATCATACGATGAACCCAGGCAGTGAACATGGGTCCACAAAATCCAAGCAACAACCCTGCACAAATGCAGCAAGAAAAAAAAAAACACAGCAACACAAAAAACAAAGAACTCTCAACTTTACAAACACTGGGAGGGCAACAGCTGGTCAGCCGAGATTAAAGGAGCGTGAGAGAGCACCTCCCACCACCGCATCTCCTGACTTCTCCCCCTCAGAGGTCCCTGAGCCTGCCAGGGCTCGCTTTTACAGCCCTGTGCAGATGACCTTGTTCCAGCTCAGATAGGGGTTCTTTTGATCTCAGCAGGGGATGCTCTGGGCCTGCAGCTGGCAGATATTAATAGTACAGGATCCACCGGGTGGAAGAGATCTCTCCGTTGGGCCAGGTCACTTGTATTCCCTGCTCTGTGTCAAAGCAGAAGAGACTTCATTTCCCCGAATCAGCCCCTGCTGGGTACTTCTCTCAGGTCAACTCGGATCATTTTATTGCTGGCTGCTCTGTGGCCACTTGTTCTCACCCCACAACTGTTTTCAAGGGAGCACTGTTTAAGCAGTGCCCTCCGCTCTGCAGCTGAAATCTATTACAGGGCAGGGTAGCCCTTGAGCTCACCCATCGCAGTGTGTTTCTCACTCTCGCTGAGTTGCACATAATTTTTCTTGGTTACATGTTTGTGGGGGAGAAAGGCAGCGAGAGCAAGAAGCAGACAGACAAGGCCAGAAGTGTTCAGAGTGAGATGGCAACACGGGGCGAGGCGGCTGTTACAGGTATGCCGAAGGATCAGAGCTAAGACTTCTGGGGACCCTCTATTATGTTTAATCTAGAACAGCAAGGTCATTCTTCCCACTCTGAAAATCAGAATTTCAAAACTGCATCAACGAGTGAATCCTCCTGGTCTTCAGACCCGTGTTATGATCTCATAGTGCTAGAGCTAGAAAAGACTTTTGGCAATCTTATATTCATCCAAACTGTCACTTAACAGAAAAAAAAGTTGAGGCCCAAAGTGATTAAAAGACCTGCCCGAGATCACAGAGCTCATAACAAAATGGCAAGCTAATACAATGAATGCTTGAAAGAACAACAAAGCAATTTATACATATTAATCATAGTAACATTAACAACCATTGCAATATGTTTGACTACGTATAAATGTTCTAAGAAATTTTAATTCACTGGCATGGAACTTCATTATAGACTTCAGGAGAAAAAATATTTCTATAGCCTCTTTACCTGCTCAGCTATGCAAGGAAAGGATCTGAGAAAATCAACTGTTTCCTTTCTCCCTGGGATTTCATACTAAAAAAAAGCTGTCTAGGGTTGAGCTGGTAAGTCTTCCTTTGCCATGAACATGACTTTACTATTTTCTTGAGTGGTTACACTGGAGCCCCAAAGCAATTCCCTTTGTATCTGTTTCACTCCTCTTCTTTAAGATAAACCAGGAAGTCAAGACAAAGCAAAGTTCTATTACTTACTGGTTTTCAAATAAGGAAACAAGATACTTTGTTCTGCTCAGAGCAAATATGCCCTGAGCATGTGTGTGTGTGTGTGTAATAACTATAATAATTTTTAATGATGATCATAGGTGTCTTCTGTGATTCTCATGGTTACTGTTCTTAGAAAGCATTAACTATGATATTCACTCAGCATTTATTTTCTGCCAATTATGTGCCTAGAACTTTGCTAGTCACTCAGAAACAACATGAATACAAAAAGAATATGAGGGCCGGCTGAGTGGCTCAGTTGGTTAAGAGCTTGCTCAAGAGTGTGAGCTCTAAGCAACAGGGCCGCCGGTTCGATTCCTGGCCCGAGCTGAGCTGCCACCAGGTGGCAGGATGGCTCAGCTAAAAAAATAAACAAAAAACCCCAAAAGAAACAAAAAGAATATGAGATAGTCTGTGTCCATAAAAATAAAAAATCTGCTAATCTAGCCAGGAAACCATGAAAAGTTAAATTAAATTTTCTAGACCTTTTCTTTATATAGCTGAGAGGTAGAGGGACCACAGAGGAGGAAGAGAGAGTAAGACCAATGCAGACTGGAACAGGCACGGAGGTTTTCTGGAAGAGGTGGTCTTTAAATAAACCTTGGAGGAGTGGGAGGATTTAGGACGAGAAGAAGAGGTAGAAGTGAAAATGGGAAACAGTGGCCACGATAGGGCAGCTGACCCTGCAGAGGCGTGGGGGCAGGAGCGGGGAGCAGCAGGCAGAAAGGCAGCGCTCTTGGCATAGGAGCTTCAGCCAAGGTGCTGGCAAGAACAGAGGTCGAATAGGAAGGAAGGACAGACTGCAAAGCATTAAGAAGCCTTGACTTTATCTAGTGGTGTTTTGGAAACTGATTTATGAAAAAGAAAATGGCGGCGGGGGGGCGGGGAGAAACACCTGGTTTTTAGCATTTGCTGATTTCCCTGGTGTAAACACTTCTACCCTGGCTAATTTCAAGCTAACAAATCACAAATTCCTGAATATTTTTAAGTCAGCTTATTGATTTTAGCCTACTCTCAGAAAATGGGCTGAAACAACTCCAAGCTTTCTGAGTAAGGGAGTGACACAGTCCAAGGAAGCCAGACTGGGGACTTCCATTTGGTAGTGGCATAAGGGACATGGTAGAGTCTGGAGGAGCGAAGCCATTTGGGAATTTTATTAAAATAATCCACTTGTGAGTTTAGTAAGTCAGCTGATCACAATCCAAATTACAAAAAGAAGAGACAGAGGAAAGATACATTTGGAAAGAAAAAGCAAGCGGACTTGATGCTAAAAGGAGTGTAAGGAGGGTGGAATAGTACCTGATTCAGGTGGTTAGTCCAGGTGATGGAGGGCTGATAATACATCACTGAATGTAGAAGTAGGTACACAGAGCATTTTACTCCTGTTATAAATAAGTAATTCGTTTTCCTCTGAAAAACACGGCTGAGGAGCAGGGGTGTGTGATCCTTGCTATTTCTGAGACCATAAACTGAGGCGGATCCATGGAAGACTACCTGAGCAGTTGGGACCCTCACCAGGCCTAGAAGCCCCATATATTCCATCATGAATAATTCTCAGAACGTGGAAAGTGCAGAGGGGCCTGGAACCGTGATGCACCCAGGTCCACGGTATTCTGCCCTGAAAGACTACAATCAGCAGAACTCAGAAATGTCAAGTAAGAACTTTCAATTGAACTAGAAACCAGTCATGGGCTCAGTGGTGTAATTCCCCAGCTATGTAAACCATAGCCAGCCTGACCTTTCCTAGCATGGGAGCGGGGAGAACATTTTGCAGAGTTACCAACGTAGAGCGTTTTTCTTCATCTCTCTGTAAAGCCAATAGGGAATGCCACATCACTGGCACATCCTGCTGGTGTACACTATTAGCCAGTCCAAAAGCACTCAGCACAGACAAAAAGCTAAATTGACGTGAGACCACTGGTAAAGCCACGCTTTGAGCCTCAGTTTCCAAAAAGGTCACTTAGCGGTTCACCAGCCCTTATATTAAGGACCCAAAACAACCTATAGAGGAGTGGCAAACCTCAAGGCGGAGGTGATAGATGGCTGTTAAGATGACTCACTAAGGTGAAAAAGGAGGCTCACTTACAGTGACAGGGCAAGAGACTCTCCAAATATAAGGGATCAGATGCCAGGAAAGGTGGCCAAGCCTAAGTCACCAGGCTCCGGCTGGGTTCACTGGCCAGGGCCCATTAGCTGTATCTCCCAGCTCTCAACAGGAGGCAGAGACTTGGTGGAGCTGTATGTCAGTGTCAAGTTTCAGCCCCTCTAGGACAGATCCCTTACCTTCAGACAGGGACAAATCATCAGCTGGAGACACCAGGTCTGCCTGAGAAGCTAGAGCTCTGCTCAGATGGGTTGTAATTTGATTCGTCAAGATAACCTGTGAACAGACAAGGAGAAGGAGGTAGCGGGGAGGGAGAGAAGGGAGAAGAGAGAAGACCAAATTAATTATTAGAACTATCAAAAGACAGACTGTGACTTAGGGGAAAACTGATAAGTATGCAGGTAGGAAAACCCCAGCTCTGACTTTCATCAATTTTATCTGTAGGTCAGAATATCTGGCAAAAGCCCATAGGTCATTCAAAGCACAGAAAACTCAGGAAACAGGCTGACTTTTTTCAGAGCTCAAACCACTAATCAATTCTTCCTAAATGCTGAGTAAATTTGGACTGATAGGTGTTGTCATGTTAGCTGAATAACAGAAGGCTAACCAGAGACCATGCATGTGGACACATTTTATTGAACTTAAAATTTTAAGATTATATCCACAAACTAAGATACTGCTATTGCTGAATAAAAGCAATAATTGAACATTTGGATGCCCAAGGTATCTCACCTTGTTAACTCAAAAATCAGAGTTTTATTTCCAAATTTGTGAAATTGGAATAAGGGTCATCTCTAAGGGAATAAACTCTTCTTTTAAATTAGTCGAATTCTAACAAAAGAATTCCAAGGTCTCACTATGTATTTAAAACACAAATTAATATAATCCTACCTATTCAAAATAAAGTTCATGACATTTAAAATTCCTAGGGAAGACTCTAAAATTACTTAATTCTTATGGCCCACTGCCACACAATATTTTCACATTTGGTTCAATCAAAAAACTATTATTTTTCTTAAAAACTCTCACTTATAAAATATACTCTATTGTTTAGAAACCTAAAGGAAGAATAAGATCCAGATTGTCTCCTGGAAAATTGTACCAAGGCTAGCACTGAGCATTTCCCGAGGTTCAGGTGTTCCCAACATGGGCAGAAACTGTGGGCAACTTGGTCCGTCAGAGAAAACGTCCCTTCTGAAAGGGTACTAGGCACTTAGTACCTGGAATAAGCACCTCGCGGGGTATGTCCTGGTATGTGCCGGGGATCAGCCACGGTTTTGTTATCACCCCGATTTGAACAGAGATGAAAATCGTCTCCATTCCTTATTGTCCGGCTTGTCAGCCACACCTCTGTTGCTGCCTCTGGAATGGCCAGTGACACATTATAAATCGTGTATCCATGGCAGCTTAATTGAGGGCTGTGGGGGGAGCACGATGGCAAGGTCAAGTGAAGAAATGAAGTACTCTGTTAACAGAGACAGCCTTTCCAGGGTCTTTGTATGTCAACTAGGTTCAAGGGTTTCCGGCTACCCTGCATCTAAAATCAGATATTACAGCACTCCTCTGAGTACTTGCTCATCTTATCCCTCATGTCCTTGTGTATTGCTACTTTTCATTGGGACTAGGAAGAACCATCTGAAACGTCTTCAATTAAAATGGCTGGAAATGGTCAAAGAACAGCCTGCTCTTGTAAGAAATATTCATATTCAGGAGCATGGTTAAAGGATTATGTTCTTTTCTCTCTTTATAATATAGGATACGGAACTTGGAGCTCAATAAAACTGGGTTCAAATTCTGATTCTGACACTGGGAACCTTGGAAAAATTACTTCATTAGTTCATAGGTAAAATAGCACCTATCTGATAGAATTGTTTTGAGAATTAAATGAGATAATCAACATTAACCTAGTGTCTAACACATAGTAAATATTCAATAAATAGAAGCCATGGTCGTCATTATTTCCTATAGAGTGATGCTGTATAGGTTAATAAGTTAGTATATGCCACGTGCTTCAGACAATTGGATCTAATAATAGAACACTGAATCCCACACTTTCTATATCAGGGTATACTTAAGTACCTGATCATTTCTACTAGCCTTAGTCCTTTCTAAATTTTATTTAATTGCAAAGAATTTGTGTAAAAATCTCAGTAAGAAAAATACAGTAATTCTTTAAAGCAAGGCCAATAAGATACTGGCGTTGTTCTGAAAATACTATGTGCTTTATCTACCAATGAAGAAAATAATGTATCTGTATATCCTAGTTCAAAGAAATGTGAAGCTTCAGGGAGATCTATTAAATATGTAAACTGTGTTTTGGGGCGGGGGAGGGGAGGATTCTTCTAAAAGCCATCTTGTTGAAAATAAATAGAACTCTAATGCTATGGTAACAGCAATGAGAAAACAACGTATGGAATACCTACTGTGCAAAGCATGCCACTATATACAAAGGGGAAAACAAAGAGGTCAAGACACTGTATGTCTTCCCTAGAAACTTGTAAGTTGAAGAAACTTGTTTGCTAAACTGTTCAGACCACTTTTTCTCACTTTTATTATTATTTCATTGGTCCTATAGTGGAAACTTGGACTGAGATGATGGTTCCATTGTACAGAACTACTGAAATGACATCCTGCGGAGCCTAAAACCAAACTACTATACAGATGTAACTCAGAAGAACTAGACTTATCGGGGTGATCACTTTGTAATTTATGGAAATGTCTATGTTGTACACCTGAAACTAATATATTACATGTCAACTGTAACTGAAAAATAAAACAGAATTAAAAAAATATTTTTGTGTGTGCCTCAAAAGAGAACCACTCTCATTTCCACTACCAATGGAAGAGTAGATGGAGAAAAAAACATTTTCACTCTGCAATGGCAAGAGAACATGCTTTCTATGTGGTTTTGCTAAAAATCCTCCCCCTTTTTATTATAAGTCTGAAAGCCAAATCACAGAAGGATATATTAGCAACCAAACTCAGGGGTTTGCTAATCACACCATCTTACTGAATTGTTGTGGTTTTCTAAATCCGTGTTCAGCAAAATGATAGAATGGAAACATTTCCCAATAGCATCGATTACAAATAATCACAACATGGGCGGAAGCCTATAGTTGTGCTGTTCTCTGAGGCAATCTGGACACTTGAAAACTACACTCTTAAAGCAACTCACAAAATACTATTACACATTACAAACCGTCTTAACACGATCATTTCTGAAAATGAGCTCTGACTGACACTTCAAGGGGCTTTCCTGCTGCTTCTGCTTTGCTCCACTGGAAAGACTGGGACTTCTGATGCTTGGTGCGAAATTTGTGCAAGAGCAGTTTGCACAGTGGTTAGGGCGAGGACTCTGGAGTCAGACAGACCTGAGTTCCGATCCCGGGTTCTACCACTTATTAGGTGTGTGACACTGGGCATGCTTCATAAGCTCTCTGGGTATGATAACACTTAACTCACAGGGTTTCCAGGATTAAACTGGGTAATGCATATCCAGTCCCCAGCATAGTGCCTTGCCAATGGTAAATGCTTCACCAAGGTTAGCCGCTGTCCTTATTTTTAATTATCCTTTGCTCATTTGTACCTTGCTTGTTTAGTTAGTAAACCCATGCCTGGTTCCCTTTTGTACAGCATACAGCCTACTGCTAACAAAGAACCAATATTTGCTGTTGATATGTTCAAAAGGCAACAAAAATTTAATTGAAATGACATCTGCTATTTTTGTCATTTCTCTAAAAGTACGGTTTATCTAACTTATGACACTCCCCTCCCCTCCCCTAGTATCATCGACAACAAATTCAAAGACCAGAGTGGGACTCTTGGACTAAGAGGAAGAAATACTTTTTAAAATAGTTATGATTATGTCTGAAGCTGAGAGGAGATGGAATCCAACATAGTTTACTCTTCAGAAAGGAGAATATCATCCACCTATTGGGGGTAACAGGAAGCCCAAAAAGTTGTATCAAGTAACTGTTGTCTCCACTCAGCTTTATAAATGGAGAGACAACTTACTCCCAGGGCTTCTTTGATGTGTCCTCTTGGTTGTAGGATGCTTGAGGTACACTTGAATAGCAAACGGCCCCTCATATTATGTCACGTGGACCTTGCGTCTCATAGACCTTGAGTCTCATTTTTAGTGCTCCCCTCTGAAGGCAAAATGGGGCAAGGGGACAGTTCTCCCTTCAAAAACTATGTCCCTGGGTTCTAAGTGTACCCTTGCATTTCCTAGCTTCTCTAAATGCATCCTACTCAAGCCTTCTCTGTATTCTAACATCTACACTCATTTTAAGGGAACAATGAAACTCTTTAAAGAAGGAGAGACTTCAAGGTACAGATTCATAAATAAGCAGTAATAAGCTAGAGAAAAGAGATGAAGAGATAGGAACCAGGGAAAGACCGGATGACCTAGTAAGGCAGATGGGTGGGAATCAGTGCGTTTTGGTCGGAGGCAGAGGGCCCTGAGGATGAAAAATTAACCAACACAGAAACAGACAAAAACATATGACTCATTTCTGCTGAGTATCAAAAAGACAGCGTAAGAGAGCAAATACCTGGAGTCAGGCGGATAGGAGCAGAATAAGCTGGTCAGAGACCATCAGCCTCAGGCATCAGGGGACTGGTGAGCTGACTCTCTACTAGTCTCGATGCCCAATGTGGACCACCTGCCTTCATTTGACCCATCTTTCGTTGACTCTGTTATGGCCAGGTTACATCTAGGCTATACCCACACCCCACTCACACCTCCGGCTCCTGGTCCAGCATGCATTCTGCCGTAAGGGGCCACTGGGTGTGTCTAGTCTGATCCACTCTACATTGAAGTATTTAGGAGTATCTGTGCTGGGGCCTCCATGGCTAGCCATTTTGTATATTCTACCCACTGTGAGTACTTGAAAATGGTGGACAGAAGAAAAAATGAGACAGCCCTGGAGAAGCCAGAGAGGAAAACCACCAGGCCTAGAGGCACAGGCTTGGATGGAAGAAGCTCCTTTTATCTCAGAAGGTGACAGGGAAGAAGTGGGAGTTTGCGTTCAGCCAGGGATAGAACAGGTTGGAATGGGACAGTTGGCCCTGTTTGTTCAGCAGAAGAGATAGTCCCGGTCAGCAAAACAACAACTCAATATTTAAAAGTCAGATTCTTTTAAGGACCTAAGAATATGGCACATGCCCTCATTTAACTTCCTGTGGGGACAGGTGGCAGGCAAATTTGTAATCCCCGCCTTCCACAGAATGAACTCATCTGCCTGAGATCAACAGTGAATAAGAGATAAGGCGTG